AGTCTGGCAGAGCCTCAGACTTGACCTGTCGGCGTCCCTTCGCAAAGGAAGGGATTTCCCTCTTCCCTTCCCACCCTCTGAGTAAATAATGCCAGTAGCTCAAAGTGCATATCCCGGGGGATCCGAGACACCCGGCCCAAACGCAAACACCCCAGAAATGGAGCCCTTTCTGGGAAAGTACTGCTTCCAGAACCTTCTCACCACCACTCCTGCTTCCCCTCGGAGCTTTTAGTTTAGATCCGAGATGGAATGGAAGGACAGAGAAAAATGGGGAGGGCCCCTCCACAGAGCCCGACGCCAGCAGACCAGGTGCGCCCCGGATCGTGGGGGGCAGGGACAGGTGGGCTCCAGAGGGCTCTGCGCCCCCGGTGGGGCCAAGCGTGGAGGAGGCGCTTCTGGGTGGGGGGTGGGTGATGGGTGGGTCCCTTACGGTCTCCCTCAGCTTCCTCTCGTAGTCCAGCTCGCGCTGCAAGCTGCCCGCGCGCTCCTCCGCGGCGTCGGCCTGCTCTTGCAGACTCCGGATCTTCCTCCGCACCGCCTCCAGCGAGCTGCTCCCCGCCATGGTGCGGGGCGTCGGCGGGCGGGCTACGGTGGGAGAGGCCGGCTGCTGCGCCTCTCGAACGCCCGGCCGCCCCGCCCAGACCTCGCCGCTCAACCGCGGCGCCCCCTGCGGCCCAGGACCAGCCCGGAAGTCGCGGTCTCCGGGGCAGCGCAGGGGAACCGCAGGCGAGTGCGCGAGCGCCGGGGGCGGGCACAGCGGTCGAAGCAGGGCGCGCGCCGCGGACCCCGGGAATTTGCACACCGCCGGAGGCGCTGCGCATGCTCGTTTCAACAGGGATGGCAGGCGTTAGGGGCGCACTACAAGACACTTGGCGGACTGGGTGGGTCCTGCAGGAAAGGAGGCCACTGCTCGAGGGATTTTACTTCAATTCCTACCGCCCCTCCCCGGCTCCGATTTGTCCCGCAGTAACGGGCCTGGTTGCTCAGGGCTATAGTGCCGCCTACTGGTGGCCGGAGCGCTCCGCTCCGGATCCCATATTCCCAGGCCCAGAAGGGAGAGCTGAGCTAGGGGTTTGGGGCCTTAATGTGCCCCAAAGTGGCTGGCTGTTCCTCGTTGTAAAGAACCTCAGAACACAAGATTCTAGAAATAATAGCCCTCCCTCTCCAAAACTCACTAAATGAAAACCACCAACATATTACATAGTGGTTAAACCTATTCTAAATGCAGTCTTCTTAGCTTAGAACCTTGCTCTTAGTTCTTTCCTAGCTGTGTGACTGGACAAATAGCTTGATTTCTCTGGGCTTCATCTGTAAAAGTGGCATTAATGGCAGTACTTTATCAGAGTTGATATGACGGTTATGAAATAATTATTATAAAGCACTCAGCACAATACCTGGTAAATACGTTAGTTAAAAACTCAGATGAAAGCTTTAGTTAAAATACAGGCAGGTACTGTTTTAAAAGTCAGGCTGGGGCCCATAACCAGCTGTTTATCCCAGCCTTTCTGGGGCTCACTTTCCTGTCCGTAAAAACAATCATCTCAAGGGTTCTTTCTGGTCACAACCTCCTCTGATTTTAGATTAGCCTCTGAAAGCTTTTGGAATCTGACCAATTCTGGGCTGGACTGGGCTGCCTTTAAAAGGCACACGAAGGAAGGCTACAGAACCCTATGGGAGCGTCTGGCTACAGCTGAAAGAAAACCAATGTGGACACAATCTCTGGGAACTGTCCTCTGCAAATTTGCCCCTTGGGCTGTGTTTTTAAATGCGTGCTAAGTCTCCAGGCTTTCAATCCTCAGCTTTCTCAAAAGAGGCCCTTCAAGTCAGTTCTTGATGTTTAAGTGTGGGAATAATGAAGAAAAAGAAAACAGACTTGACATCCCTTTCCTCCTCCAGAGCCCTAACCACAAACCTTAGCTTTCTTGACTCATTTTTCTATGGACTTTCACAGCCTCTGCTGAGATCTCCGAAACCCAAGCACGGGCCCTCACATCCTGTAGGTGGAGCCTGTGGCTTTGTTTCCACACAGTTCATCTGGCCTGGAGGGAGGTTACAATGCCTACCCTAACGGAGTGCAAGACCGTGGTCCTCCAACTTTGATGATGGGGGAAGGGGATGTCTGAGGCTCCAAGAGGAGGCTGGGAAACTGCTGTCCAGCTTTTCAAACACCTCGGGAAAGCCAGTTTCAGGTGAATTCATTTTCATGCTAATGTCATTATACAAGAGTGTTGGGCAGTTTGCAGCCTTGGCTGCACATTGGAATCACCTGGGTATTTTAAAAATACTAATACCTGGGTTCCAGCCCCAGAGATTCTGATTTAATTGGCCTGGGGTACAGCCAGGATTTTGGGTTTTAAAATCTCCCTAGGAGATTCTGCTTAGATAAGGTTGAGAATCACTGATTTAGAACGCAGTGACCTACAGGGAATAAATATCAGATACATACAGTTATTGGAACAGAGGTTGGGAGCGAGAGCCCTCTATCCCTTTCAGCCTCACTTAGGTGGAATGACAACAAAATATTCAAAACAAAACCATTGGGGAAGCTACCTCATGAATTACCACTTTTTAAGCTAGGAAGAGCCCACTTCTGGAATAGGATATGTAAAGTATAGGTAAATTAGAAAAATGTTTTTAGTAGTAGTAGTAGAAAAAATAGAAAACTGTTTTATGGTTCTTAACTATATATGTACAAGGTAATGACAGGGAAATGCCCTAATCATAGATGTAATATAATACTATCTCAGGAAGCTGACTTCTCTCCCACCTCCCCTTTTCTCTAGTGACAGCTAGTCACTAGTTAGGAATCACTTTAAATACAGAATTTCTTCACAAACTTTTTCAACATCCCAGCAGGTTCCAAACAATCTAACATGTCTTACAGGGAAGGTGACCAATATAGACTACCTAAATAAATAAATAAATAAACACAACCAAAACAGGGTTGCAAAAACCGCCCTCCTCTGCTGGCCCCGCCCCCGCCCCCTCCCCCCAGCGGGCTTTAAATATCCTGTTTTCTACTCCTGTCCCACCTTGTTCTTAGGCTCCCTTAAATGAGACTTTTCCATGAAGACCTGTAGCACTATGTAGTCACAAAAATTATGATCTATTTTTCCTTAAGAATTGTAGTGTCTTTTCCCCCCTTCTCTTGCCTTCAGCCTTACTGAGCTATTCTCAAATTCTCTGCATTCTTTACCTTATAAGGAATATCTCTCCTTGATCTATCAGCGGCTCTTTTGAAAAAGCTAAATAAACGTCCTGCTGGAGAATTTTGGGGAGACAGACATCCTCCATTTAGCCTTATACGGAGCAGACATCTGATCTACATTATACAAAGCAGGCAGAATTATGTGTTCTCTGGCTCTCTTCTAAAGCCAGGTAGTTTGTAACTTAAATATTTTAGTTAAGTCAGTGCTTCCCTGAACCCCCTTCCTAGAAATCTTGATTTTCACTGCAAAAATTTTTTTTGTCAGCTTCTAAATGTCCCAAGTCTGGATTTTTCATTTACAAAATACACTGGGAGATTGCATTTCAAGTCTTTTTCATACCACAAAAAGCCTTTCCTGATTTCAAGACCCAAGACTCTCCAGCAATTTGCATTTTACCCTCAGACAAAATAGTCTACCAGTTCAACTTCTGGGCATAGCTTCCCGGCGGCCTCACCCCCCCCCCCCCGCCCCCCCTCCCCACTGCTCATACATTCTTGGAATTGTTCCCAAGGAATTCTTTCCTAATTGGGCCTCTAGGCTTAATTAGCTTCTAGAATGGAATCCAACGGTGTGAAAAGAAGTCTTTTGGAAATCTAATGCATGGCTTGACTTACACAGCAGAAGAGGCAAGCTCTTCTGTTAAAAAGATCCCTCCAAAGGGCAGTGAACAGAGTGCTGGCAGAGCTTTTACATGTGTGTATCACCCCTGAAACTATGTGGTGGTTGTCAGAAGGCTGACAGGTGGGGGTGGGGTGAGCAGGAGGGGCAGGGGGCAGCTAGCTCACTATACCATATAAAGCACTGAGCTATATTTAACCCCCAGCTTACTTTTTGGATCTAGTGCCCTCAGACTGCAGACCCAAGCAAGTATCATCTTCCCAGACAGATCTTAAGGGCTGAATTAAGGTTTCCCTGGTGAGAGAGGAAGCCTCAAGGGTCTATGTGCCACACCATCAAGCTCAGCCTTCTAAGCAAAAGTAGACCCAAACGATTCCTTCAATCTAGAGGCCAGGCCCTCTGTACCCTGCCTAGACCCATCACTGAAAACCAGGCCTTGCCACCCACTGAAGATGGTAAAAGGAAATACAGTGAAGAAGCTAGGCATTCAGCCTGCACAAACCTTGGTACGGACACTTCAGAGGTTTTCTGCCACAAGGGAGGCAAGGTTCACCTCCAGCATCCAATTTCAGCGGCTATGTCTTCCCAGCTTCTCACCCTCCCCCACACCCCAGGGGTGGGGGCAAAGAAGGAGAAAAAGAGAGAGGAGTGGATGAAATATGAATGAATGTGTGCTGTAGCAGTCTGAGGCAGCATCCAGTGCTCTGGGCCATGGCAGGGCTATATGCAGGTGTCCAGCAGGAGGAAGTGACCTTCCTCCACTGCTCTCTGGCCCCTGTGGTGACTCCAGAGTGGCGATGCAGCGCGGCACGAGGTGAGGGAGGCAATGTGTGCATGCACTTACGTCGGTGGCCTTTTTCTCTGCCAGCTCCAGCTTCTCCTGGGCATCTTTGAGAGCCTCAGAGTATTTGTCCAGTTCATCCTCGGTGCCCTTGAGTTTCTTTTGCAGCGACACCAGCTCATCTTCCAGCTGGGAGTTGGCCGTGGGGGATGGGGAGCGGGGGGTGGGTGCAGCAGGCAGCGTGATACCGCAGGGGAGGGGTGTGGGTGCACAGAACCAAAAGGACAGGGACAGTGGGACAGAGAGAGGGAAAGACAGGGAAGGGAGAGGGAGAGAAAGAGAGAGACAGAGTTAGCCATTCGTGCGCCGAGCCGCGCGCACGCCCCGGGTACCTTGGCGGCGGTCTCATTGGCGGCCAGGAGGCTGTCCTCCGCCTTGTGCAGCTCCTCCAGCACCCGGTCCCGCTCGTCCTCCGACACCCGCAGCAGTTTCTCCTTTGCCGCGATGTCCTCCTCCAGCTGCGGGGCAGCGGCGGGCGGGCGCGGGCAGCCGGCACGGACCGGGTGTTAGACACACACACAACACACGGGCGCCGGGTTGGCTGGGGCCCCTCGGACATGGGGCACCGCCGAGTTAGGGTTCAAGGGTCCCCAGGTAACCGTCTCTCGCCGGAGCTGGAGGCGCACAGTGGCTCACCCTGCACCCCGACCTCCCCCAGGACGAGACTCCTGCCGAGGTCTCGGCTGGCTCAAGTCCACAACTTGGTGCAGAAAAACACACCTATCTTCCTGGCCTTTGGGCCGTACTCTTTATTCGGTCCCATCTTTGTTCCATGACCCTCACCCCTACTCTCCAGTCGCTATCCCAGTTGAAGGGTTTATTCTTCCCAGGCAAATGAGACCAGGAGAATTTATAAGACTTCTGGACTTGATTCCCTTCAACCCCCCACCCTCACCCCTCCTCACCCCTACGGATCCAAAATTGATTCCTGATCCAGAGAATCAGGTGCCTCTAGGGCTTGAATTGACTTCGCGGGCTCTGGGAAGCAGAGAAGGTTAATATGCGTCCTCAGACGAGACTGAAAAGTTAGAGTAAGCCCCAACTCAGACGCGGGTCCGCGGCTCTACTGGGAAAGGGGTGGCTCCCTGAGTCTAAGTGGTGAGAGGCTGGGCAGGGGTGTCAGCCCAGGTCCCAAGGCTGGGACACCCGGGCGGGCGGGCGGGCGGGAGGTGCAGACCTGCTTGCTCCTGTCCTCCGCCGCCTTCTTGTCGGCCTCCGCCTGCTCCGCTCGATCTAAGGCGTTCTCCTTGTCGAGCTTCAGCATCTGCATCTTCTTCTTGATGGCGTCCATGGTGGCGGCGGCGAGGGGCCCGGGGGCGGCGGCGAGAGCGGCGGCGAGGCGACAGCGCGGTGCGGCGGCCGAGCCGGAGTGCGAGCGCAGAGCCGCCTGCTGCTCCCAGATATGTACTTTCCCAAGGGGACGACCGCATTCCTCAAGACAGCCAATACTTTTTTGGAAAAGCTTTTTTCCCCTGCCCCCTTTCCCCTCTCCTCCCTCCGCCCCCTGCGCCCTCCCCGCTCCTCCCGCGGGGGCTGCTCGCCCATTCGCTGCCGCCTGCCGGCCTCCCAGTTGACGGTGGATTTGACTATATATGGGGACCCGAGCCACCGAGGCGGCGGTCGTCCCGGGCCGCCCTCTTTCCGAACCCGCGCGCCAGCGAGAGGGCTTCGGGACGTCGCTGGGGCCGAGCCGGGGGCCCAGGAGCTAACCTCTGCCCTCGGCGCTCCTTGCTCCGGTAGCCAATGCCCTGCCCTTAGGGTCCCCAGCCGAGCTCGCCCGAGTGACAGGAGTCCACGGGAGCGGGACAGGTGGTGGGGGCGGGCGGCCCCTGTGAGCGGCTGGACCCCAGCGCGCTCAGCATCAAGCCCCCGCGTTCCCCAGCAGACTCCGCACCGGCACCCAGGCCCGCCGCTCCGGGCACCCACCCAGCGCTTCCGAAGCAGCATTCAGTTTGCCCGGTGTCATCCCGGGCGCTCACTTTCTGGAAACTAAACTGGAGCAGAGAAAGAGTTGAGAGCAAGATCTGGGGGCCACTGCTGGGACTTTACTCTGCCGGTGCCAGTCAGAATGTATGGGAATCTGTCTTCTGCGTGCCCTTCCCCTCAGGAAGGGCTAGTCAAGATACTTTAGGGGCACAGGACCCAGTTGGCTTAGCTCTGCATGTGCCTGGGCAGTGCTCCCCGAAAGGGCAGGGTAGGTGGGTGGGTGGGAGTTGAAGATGAAAGAACATTGAGTTTAGACTCAGGCAACTTGGTCTTTGGTCTCTGTCACTAGCAGCTGTGTGACCAGAGGAGTTAGGCTCTGCGCTGCAGTTTCCTGATCGTTAAGTTCAGGGGGTAGATGATCCCCAAGGTGTCTCCAGATCTAACTTTTTATCATTTTTCTTGCACTGATTTTAGGGATTTGGCTGCTTGCCATGTTAGACACTCAGGTACCAGGTTGCCAAAACGTGGGATAAATATTAACCCAGCGAAGTCACTGTATCCACAGTCTTGACTCTGAGGAGGGAACAGGCCCAGCTCTGTACAGTGAGTTCAGCTTCAAGGCAGCAGGATTGCCCTTAACATCTTTTACTCCTTCTAGCCCCCAGTGGGGAAAAGCCTGCTCTTTTCAGAGGTTTGGTGGGAGGGAAAGAAAGGGGGCTGCCCCAAGGCCCTGCCTGAGGCTGGTTGAGTCAGTGTTGGTGGGGGTCTTGTTAATAATCCCCACAGAATAATTCACAACCTGTACTACATGGATACCGAATATTCCCTGGACGGTATCTGAGCAGATTAGGCAGGCCAAACAACTTGTAAGTCCTTCAGAGAAAGATCAAGTTCCTCTCCAGGATTTTATCAGATTTCTTCCACCAACCCAACTGCCCAACTGGAGGGAAAATATACCCTGACCTAATGGTCAGAAGAGTAGATCTGTGTACACAGGGGCTGCGTGGCCCTGAAACTCACCAGAACCCTTTAATCACTGTATGCCAACCCAGCCACTGGACCATTGACAAAGTTCAAGGCCTATGAGCAATATACTCCCCAGCCTGGAGCTCAGCACAGAAGGCAAGAGTAGGAACTCAGGAGTTCGACTCTGGGATCCTAACCTGACCTAGCCTCTTCCTTGCAAAGTGGCCTTAGCCATGTTACAACCTCTTTTGTAAAGTAGGTGTAAAAATTCTTCCCTTTTAGGGTTGTTACAGGGATGAAAAATAAAGAATGAAAAGCATCTTGTCTAGCACACAGCAAAGTGCTCAGTAAATTCTGGCTGCTTGGGTGGCAGAGGGCCAGTCATTTCTCTTCTCTGGGTTTCAGTTTTCTCATCTATGAAATGAGGCAACTGAACTAGAGAAACTCTTGGAGGGACCATATATAACTGCCTTTCCTCCACAGACCCTATCATAGCAGAGGAGCTCGTTCAAGTTTCTATAAATGAACAGGTTCTATAGACAATTCATCAAACACACCACTGGTGAACACCAGCTGTACGAGTCATATTCCTGTTCCCCAGCTGACTGACCATGACTCAAGGCCAGATCCCTAGGCTGAAAAGAGACCTAGTGTTGTGGCCTGTCAGGCAAAGATGGACTGGGACACTTCACTGCAGTTTGAACTAAAGGATGTGAAAAGTATGGATCATTAGCTGAGGCTGTTGAAACAAAAAGGGTTTGCAGTCTTGGGCTGGAGATGCCTGTATGGGCATGGTTAAGGCTATTCACAAATACGTAAGTTTTCTCCCCAATCAGAGTCTTGGTAGAATTGCACATCTCCACGCACCCTTCCCCAATGAAGTTTCGGATGGTCATTTAGTTTACTTTGGCCAAGGAAACTAGAGTAGAAGTGGCTTATGGCGGACACTTACAGAGTTAGCATATGCCTCACCATGTTCATTTTTAAGATTGTTGCTACTCTGTCATTCTTGGTTCCGAAGTGGCTATGATCGGCAGAACTCCCCCTTGTCCCCTCAACTAACCCTCAGTGGACATGTAGCAAGAGAGAGCTATAAACCTTTGCTACTTTAGGTCACTGAAATCTGGGGGGTTGTTTGTTTACTAAAGCATGACTAGCTTTTCCTAACTAATATACCACAACAGGCCGTGCATCGACCTGGTCATGCATCGGGGAGCAGAGAAGTCTGGTGATAGAAAAAGGAGAATGGAGCAGACATAGCAAGATAAACAGGAGCACCATTGAGAGAAAAACTGGGAGACTATGACCAAATTTCAGTTCTAGCGGTTCTTATAATAACCCCCTTTCCTTCCAGAGGTTACATGAGAGAGTCTGTGTTCCATGGGAGCCTGGACAACGTCCTTGGCCCGGAGGTTCTGTGTGTGCATGAAGAATGTTCATGGAATTTCTAGGTTTTCCCCAATGCTTGGCATTTAGTCATTTCTCAATACATGTTTGTTGAATGATTGTTTATTGGCTATTATCTATACAAATAAGTAGGAGAAAGAGTGTCTGGGGAGGAAAGATTTAAAAACTAGGCTCAAAAGACTTATTTCAATTCAAAATACAGAGTCTATGTTTTATTTTCTGAAGAATGAGTATAAATACTGTGATAGGGTAGGGCAAATGTCCCATAAATATTTACTGGACGCCTTTTGTGTGCAAGCCATTTAACTAGACTTTATGGGGTCAAGGAAGATGGATAAGAGACACAACTTTTTTCCTCTAGGAAAAGTATATGTTGAACCTTTCTCTCTCTCTGGGAGTCCTTTAATGTGTATTTCCAACCATGTGACCATTGTCCCAAATGCTGCCTGGGCTCCCCTGTAGCTGTGAGGATTCCAAAGCTCAGGTGTTCTAGCAGAACATTAATAGTAAATATACTGCCCTCCCACATGTAAGAGTACCCATGCCTGCCATACTACATTTCCCAATATTTGTTTGGAAAAGGGAGTCAGCACTCACTTGAATATATACATCACGGTTGTTTGTTCAAAAAAAATAAAACCAAAAAAAAAAACAACAAACAAACCCAAAACAGAACGAAACAAAAAGCTCATTACATGATAGTCACACCTTGTTTAACAGCAAGAGCTCTACCTGTGTTCCGTGACTCCCCCAGAGTCAACAGTATTGACTCAGGCAATTAAGGGAAAGTGAAGAATCTATAATTAAACCCAGAGACAATCGCTTCTTTACTGGATTCTGGAATGCAGCATGTTATGCTCAGGGCTCCTTGTCTCACAAAACAAGTTGCAGCACGTTCTCTTCATGTACAATACAAGGGAATTTTTTTTCCCCCCTCAGGGATTTGTGATACTGCCATCAGGACCCAAGGAAAATATGCTCTGCTTCCAGGGACGGCTTGGCACTTGGAGAAAGGCCTTTCGACCATTGTGGATGCCTTTCCCCATTGCTCAGTAATGCCCACTTTGTTCGGACTCTGCTGCGAGGCCCCTGGGTGTGCTTGCTACCTGGGGAATTTGCACAGGCAAAATGGCTCTCCCAGTCCAAAAACGTCAATGAAGTTTCCTGCCCAACATATCATCATTTTTAAAAAAGATTTTATGTATTTATTTTTAGAGAGAGGGGAAGAGAGGGAGAATGAGAGGAAGAGAAACATTGATGTGTGAGAGAAACACCGCTCCATTGCCTCTCACACACCTCCAACTGGACGTCGCCAACCATGGACTTGGCCCACAACCCAGACATGTACTCTAACCAGGAGTCAAACCGGCAGACGACGGTCAACTGACTGAGCTACACTGGCCAGGGATGACATCTCACCTTCTGTCTTTCAACCATAGCAACTATGTAGAGATTCAATCAAGCTGACGTGTGGTGGAATTTAGCTGTCTCAAGAATGGCAATATTGCCTAAGTATGTAAAATTTAAAAAGTGCTTTCAAGTTCATAATCACCTCACAACCTCTTATGAGCACCACGATGAGTGCCATTAGTCCCACTTTACAGATTAGAGAACCAAGGGCAGAACAAGCAGATCACCCAGCTGGGAGGTGGCAGTGCAGGGACAAGAGCGAGGATGTCCTAGGCCCCGGCCCCAGTGCTCTTTACATGAACCATTCCCCCACCTGTTTTTACATTAATATTTGCTTTTATGTTTAAAAGAACACATTATAAAGTGAAGGGGGGAGGCAAGGGGGCTGTAGTGGTCTTTTCTACATATGAACATGGTTAAAAGATGAGAGTAATGAGGCTGGGACTAAAAGGGTATCTGATCCCGCATGGCCAGCTTAGTATGCATCCCAGGCTCCTAAGCCCACCCACACTTGGCCAATGCGAGAACCTGGAGAGGCAGTGTGGTCAGGCTGAGGAAGCCTTTCCTGCTCTTGTGTTTATGGCACAAAATGGGACAAAAAGGACATCTTTCACAAAGATAGAAAGGCAGATATGTTAGTTTTGTTCCTAGAAGCTTCAAGGGAGAGTTTGAGGTAATCATTAGAAATCTACACCTGCTTCCCTCAA